GAACGTTACCTCTAGACTACGGAGGCCGCTCAGCTCAAGCGGTTAGTCGCTGGCTTCCCATCGCGGCGGCCCGGGTTAGATCCCGGGGTCTGGTCAAATGGGATTTGTGGTGGACAAAGTGGCGCTGGGTCAGGATTTCTCCGAGTACTTCGGTTTCCCCTGCCAATCTTCATTCCACCAATTGCTCCACAATCACCCTCACCTATCATCTGGGGCTGGTACAACAGGGCAGAAGTGGCCGCAGTACAAGGGACTTAGTCCCACCCTACTAGCAATAAAAAAAATACGGGCGGATCGGGACAATGGAAAAATCTCGCAGACGGCTTATGTTCCTGGTGTCGCATGACTCCAGCCAACCAATCAGCACCCCTTTAGTTGTCTCTGTCTAGCTGAAAGTTGTTCTCTTGCGATATATCTTTCCCTAATTGCAGTTTTAGTATATTATTGTAATATTATTGCTTTAGTATTAATCTGCGAATATAATTGAAGACCTAGCCAGAGACACGATTGACAGGTTGCACCAGGCATTAGGATATGCTGCAACCCCCCCAGGGTCACTATAAGATGATACACCCACAGAACGCTCTGTCACGTGATAAGTTTCCTTCCTGCAGGGAGGACGAGGAGCACAGAAAAGATACTTTAATCCCCCCCCCGAATTGAGTGCTCCCCTATCGTCGATGCCCATGCCACTTCAATGCTCATTTTATTTAGGTTAACATATTAGTGACTGTCAATTCTAATTCTCCAGGATTAAAGAAGCCTTGTGTGATGCTGTGACGCATGGTACTGTTGCTATGCAAAGATCGCGAGAAGGAACATACTTTGCTTGGTAATGGCTCGGTAAACACATTCCCGCGGAAATGAGAAGCACACAGCAATACAAATTGGAAACGGGGGTGTTTTCTGTCGTGTCTGCCCCGTGGCTATATAGCGAGGAACCCTATATATATTGTTACGTGAATGGCGCAACAGGAAGTAGGGGTCACGTGAACTATGCGGTCTCGCGACTGACGTCACGTACCCCCACTTCTTCCATCATTACGCCACGCTCGCTAAACACTCCTCCACGCGGTGACGTAACAGCACTTCCCACTGTGACGTCACAGGGAACATCGCGGTTACTACACAGCAATAAACAACTCTCGGCAGAGCGTTGCCCATCAACACCTGTAAACACGAACGCAACAGGGAAGCGAGATGCGTTTTCCGCTGTCTGGCTGAGGGTTTATAAGAGGGACTGGGCAATTTTCCAAGGCGCACACCGGTCCGCGATTTGCACATAACATTTAAAATCCCGTACGTTTATGACTTTATAACAAAATTATGCAAGAAACAAGCAGAAGGCATACAAAATCATGAAAATGAAAATTTCCGCAACATGGGACAAGGTGAAGCCCGACACAGAAAATATAAGAGGCTTAAACTTGGCGGCGGTCAGGCATACGGCCGTTCAAGTGACTAGACTACTATGGTAGCTAATACTACTATAAATAGGGCATAGTCTTCTGTACTGAGCCTGGATTGACAGAGGCCTTGTAAAAATTGTACATAGAAATAGGAATTAAGATTAAATTATAAATATATGTAAATACTGACAGTGGACTTACTAACACAGACTATGACTGACAAATGAAAGACCCGTTCTCTCGTCAGAGAGGGCGCCACAAATGAACAGGACAGTAACTTTCATATAAAGAAAACAAATCTGGTCATGAGCCCCAGTCGGGGCTCGACATAAAGACAGACAGACTGACTGACCGTTAGTCACAATGTGACTTTGACTTTTTTAACCAGTCAGTTGAACTGTAGCAGTCGCCGAGTTCAGTCAGCGAGTGAACGTGAAGAAGACTGGAAGGCGTGATTAGAGGCGATAGTGTGAGAAGTTACTGGGAGTGTGTAATTCAGTGACACTTGTATAGCTCCCGTGTTGTGCTGTGAATACGCGTAGACTACTGAGGACAGAGTGAAGACATTATTGTGAATGGTTTATAAATTCTGTAAACCCGCAACTGTGTTACAATTATTTGTAGTTACGATTTGTAGGTTGTTAAATAAACCAATTAACAATCGCAACGGCATCTTCACGTTACAATATACAATATATGATTATATATCACCCGTGTGGAGGCGGGGTCGAATACCTCCACCGTTACTCTGCGAGTCGTAAGAGGGGACCAAAAGAGAAGTCTCAGATCTGAGATACTAAAATATGGTCGCCAGTCCCAAGGGACTCGGACCGGAGAAAGACTGAGCTGGNAATACTGACAGTGGACTTACTAACACAGACTATGACTGACAAATGAAAGACCCGTTCTCTCGTCAGAGAGGGCGCCACAAATGAACAGGACAGTAACTTTCATATAAAGAAAACAAATCTGGTCATGAGCCCCAGTCGGGGCTCGACATAAAGACAGACAGACTGACTGACCGTTAGTCACAATGTGACTTTGACTTTTTTAACCAGTCAGTTGAACTGTAGCAGTCGCCGAGTTCAGTCAGCGAGTGAACGTGAAGAAGACTGGAAGGCGTGATTAGAGGCGATAGTGTGAGAAGTTACTGGCAGTGTGTAATTCAGTGACACTTGTATAGCTCCCGTGTTGTGCTGTGAATACGCGTAGACTACTGAGGACAGAGTGAAGACATTATTGTGAATGGTTTATAAATTCTGTAAACCCGCAACTGTGTTACAATTATTTGTAGTTACGATTTGTAGGTTGTTAAATAAACCAATTAACAATCGCAACGGCATCTTCACGTTACAATATACAATATATGATTATATATCACCCGTGTGGAGGCGGGGTCGAATACCTCCACCGTTACTCTGCGAGTCGTAAGAGGGGACCAAAAGAGAAGTCTCAGATCTGAGATACTAAAATATGGTCGCCAGTCCCAAGGGACTCGGACCGGAGAAAGACTGAGCTGGCAAAGCCCAGCAGCATATACAAAAGACAGACCCGTCCTCTCGTCAGGGAGGGCGTCCCACAAAACAAGACCGTAACTGTCAATCAGTAACATATCTGGTTATGAGCCCCAGATGGGACTCNGCCCCAGTCGGGGCTCGACATCAAGACAGACAGACTGACTGACCGTTAGTCACAATGTGACTTTGATATATGATTATATAACATAGCCCGCGTGGAGGCGGGTACGAATGATTCCACCGTGGGCCTCCGAGTCGTAGGAGGTGACGAAAAGGTAAACGAGTACGTGAGATATAACTGGGCCACCCTGTTCCTCAGGGGTCTTCAAATAAGAGGACCTGGTCCTCCAGGTTGGGGGAGTCTCGAATCCGCGACAGTAAAATATGGTCATGAGTCCAGCGGGACTCGGACCCGAGAATGACTGCGCTGACGAGGATCAGCAGCAATTGTAAACGACAGACCAATCCTGTCGTCAGAGAGAATCTTACACGAGGACTATGACCGCAAGGGTTCAGTCGGAACATAAAATTGTTGGTCATGAGTCTCAAGGGACTTGATCCCAAGACGAACTGATTGGCGGTAAACCGTTAGTCGAAAAGTAACTCTAATTATATAACTGAATTGTGCAGGTAACAAGCAAAAGTCATACAGAATCATGAGAACATGTTCGCACTATAGGACAAGGCAAGCCAGATATAGAAATTATATCGGCGGCGGTCAAGCTTACGATCATTCACGTGACTAAGCTGCCGTTATAGCATAAGGTACGTGAGATAGGCATGTTCTACTTTGCAAAGCCTACGCTGACAGAGGACTTGTGTGTAGTGCAAAAGGAATAATTTTCAGTCACATGTTATATGTGCGAAGTATACACTTGACGAAAGGACAACATATTCATGACACAAGCCCATCTTCTCGTCAGAGAAGATGTTACATAAGGACTATTACGAGAAAGTTCAGTTGGGAAAGAATCTCTGGTCGTGGTCCTCAAAGGGCCTGGCACCAAGAAGAACTGATTCCCGGTAAACTGCCAGTCGTAGAATAACTGTGACTTTGACTTTGTTGAGGGCAATTCAAATGTGGAGCGATAACCAGCGGGCAACGGTGTGACCACGAAAGCTGAAGAATCCCCATCGGCAGGATCCATTACCAGGCAACGACCACTGGTGAATGTAACAGGATGAGAACACAGTTAACTGTAAACTTTAGTTCCCAGTGGTGTATATAAGAAGTCAATAAATCCATTCAGCAATCCATAGCCCCCCTATAGTCACACACCTCTATACATGACAATACATTCACATGTTGCATCCACAGAAACATTAATCTGAAGGGTGCGGCCCTATGGGCTGTAACGGCAGTCAGTTGCTGTGGCGTAGCGCTGGCGGTTAGACGTCGGTTTCTAACGGCTGCGGCATGGTTCGGTGTCAGGTCATGTGGGATTTGTGGTGGACAGAGTGGCGCTGGGGCAGTAGTACTTCTCCACACACGTGTATCACCTGGGGCTGGTACAAAAGGCCAATTAGTGGCCGGCGTATCAAGTGGACTCAGTCTTACCCCACCCCTATAAATTTACTCCGAATTGGAGCCATGTAAATCGAAGGAAGTTTTTCTTTTCAAACTACACGGCATTACAGCTCAGAAGAACGTCGCTGCAGTAATGAACGCCCGTGGTATTCTGAGGTGGTCATTTGTGACATGTGCTGACCTTGTACATTTTGGATCTTTCCTCAGTCTCACTTCATCATGTACAAGCATCGCGCTGCAAGTCAGCAATCAGCTGCAGTTCCCAGGGCCTCAGACATAATTAAATAATTAATTCCATGGAGCTGATTCCTTCCTGAGAAGCTACCAGTCGCTCAGCTATTCAATAAAGTTCATTACCGTCTTCACTAGAGCCCTCGACTGATCCTTGTTCTGAACCAGATCAGTCCAGTCCTTATTCATCTTCTTCTGCTATTCCTCTTGCTCCCACTTGTAGTATAGGGCATCCATGAAACATGTTCCAATGTGCAACAATGGAAGATGTGTCTCAGTGGACGAATGTTATAGCTCATTGCTAGGCAACAGCGCGCCAAAGAAATCGCTGGCTGGAAATCACATATGTTGTGTTTTCTGTGTTGTCCATGCGGAGCCTATACAACGATGCTGTTGCAGCTTACATTAATGCAAAGCGCAGTTCAGTGCACTGCAGCTAAGAGGAGTCCTGGAGAGTTTCTAGATGAGTTCTAAGGTTCCAAGGTGATTGAAGGAGAAATGGCAAGAAGGCTTCATGGTGATCTTTCTGTTGAGATCCGTTGCTAGGAAACGACTATTGGAAAATAAGAAATGAACAGATACTTGTTAATACTTCTTAGAGGGCCAATGAAATATATTAGAATTTGTTAGAGGTTCTCGCAGTAGTGACTATGAAGAGTGCTACGTTCTGGAAAGTAATTTGGTAGAAGTTTACCGAAGTTTCGGAAGAACACATTCCCTCGAACTTCATGGTCGAAGAGAAGTCAAGCAAGAAACAGGCGGCATGCAGATGGAGGCAGTATGTACCTCCGAAAAATCTTTTAACTCACACCGAACTACAAGGTATCAAATCTGAGAAGACAGTGCCCCCTCCTTTTTAAGGTTTGTCCAAGGGAAGTGCACTTGAGGATGTGTGAAACTTTCATGGCTAATAAAGTCACCAGAATCTTCTGCTGCTTCGTATCTCGGCTCTGAAGCGGCTGAACTTCCGAGATGATTCTGGTCAACTGAACTGGTTCAGGGATTCGTTATTAGAGGTACTGAACCTTCGAAGTTGGTTGGATATATGTTAATTAAACGCTTGTGACGCAATATCCGTCTTCTTAAATAAAATGTTGCTTTAATTGAAAGAAAATAAAACCAACAGTTGAATTGTATTTGCATGATCCAACTTTAATCAGGTCCGTTATTATGTTAAAATGAAAAAGAGAGAATATATTTTAGGGTAAGATTGTGAGCCCTATTTATTTACTGGAAATTTCATCAAATTAGGTATATTTCTCTAAGCAGCAAGTAGATTTATGGGTAAATCCTAGAATACTTGTAATTGGGTTTTCTCTATATCGGCCAACATTTTTAGAGCCACTTATTTGTAAACATTCTGTAATGATGTCATTCTAAAATAAAATTTAAACCGATTTTTTTTTTAGAAAATATCGTTTAGGGCATACACCTCAACAATAAAATTGACAATTTTTTCCCTTTGGCGCTATAACCCCAATTTGGGCCTTGGCCTACCTCCATGAAACTGTCCGTTTCGCTTCGGTTTACTAGATCTTAGACATTCGGAAGGACTCCCTGGGCGGGTGATCAGCTAGTCGCAAAGCCTCTGCATGTGCAAAAACAGAGAAAAGCACACACACACACAAACAAACAAACACTAAACATCCATGCCCTAGTGAGATTCGAACACACGACCCCGGCTTGCGAGCGAGCGAAGACAGTGCTCGGCTCCCATGACCGGCGACAAAGGGTTTAAATTCTGTAATAATTGATAAAATAAGGAGTAATGCAGTACACACGAGAATTGATGTCGAGATGTCCTTGTGTTTATTAATAGAGTTTACATTAATGTTATAACTTTTACACCAATACGAGTAATTACGTTCAGGATGCCGCAAAGAACGCCACTCCGTGAGAAGTAATAACTGAGGCTCATGGTTGTGTTTCTGTCTCTTTGCAGACCATAGCTTCCGGAATGTGGACAGTCTTGGAGACGATTCTTCTTGGAATATTTCTTCTGTACTCTACGGTAAGAACACGGACATGAAACGTAATATTATTGAACATCTTCGTAAATGATCTTTCTATTTCTGCAGAAGAATACCTATTCACCAAATATTAATGAAATTGGAAGCTACATTATTCTCATTGCTGTACATCGTTCTAGATTAAGGTATTCTTATGAAATGTATTATTTCGGTATCTCGTTCAATTTTTGGAAGAACAATACTGGGACGACAAATCTTGAGCTCCCGAATCAGAACTGAAGGATAAATATTTCCCTGCGTGCCGACTAAATTACTCTCAGATATAATAAAAGCACGCTTTATTACCTATCAGAAATAATACGCATACAAAATATAAATTGAAACAGCTCTTTAAATATCCTATTTCCAGACATCTTCGATAAGGGCAACACAACAGAATCTAAATTAAGATGGGCATAGCATCCATGCTACTAGCAATCAACCTACGTCACTGACGCACGCGCAGAAGCTACCCAGTGGCCAGCTGCGTATTCTGTTAGTCGAGGAAACCCTCCCATATGCATTACATATTTTAAAAAAGAAATTTGGCTGAACGTGTTATTTTGCACTTTTGGTTAAAAATTAATATATACCCCAAATTTCCGTAAGGGAGAATATATATTCCGAATCTTAAACTTTATATCCATAATGCGTATATATTAACCATCTTTTAGTGCATACAGTTTCACTTGTCACTTCACACTACATGTAAGACATGTAAGATGATAGATCTTACCAAGTTTTAATATATAAATTTTATTATTGAACAACGACGAACACACATTTTATATCATTTTATAAATGGACACTTGATGGCAGGCAGTGCAATGGTTTAACATGATTAATATACCTGAGGATGGCAGAATGATGCCGAAACATGTAGTGTGAAGTGACAAGTGAAATTTTATTAACTAAAAGACGGTTAATATATACATATTATGGATACGAATCAGTGCAACAGGACGCTAAAATACAACATTCTTAAACTTTATGGCCATACTTATAATTTTTGTAGCGGTGCTATTCCATAAACCGAATTCGTTTTAGTTAAATGCTACTGAAAAGTAAAACTGCCTCTGAGTGAATAATACGCCATAAAAACGTAGGTCTAAAGGACTGTACAGAAAGAACTAATGCACTGCAAACAGTTGAACAGCAGTGGGCGGATTGCGATCCCCGGACCGGATTATGATCTTGAACAAATTTAGTCTGACCAATGGCAATTTTCTCATATTATTTGAATGTTTTCATATATAAAAATTTTTGCTTTCTAAGCTACAGTTCAGAGAAAGTGCTGCGAAAACGAAAAGGAAGACGTTTCTTTAAAGAAATTGCAGTGGTCCTACGTGTATTTACAGTTCGCATTTTATGTATGTAACACTATACAGGAAATTGACTTCACTAATTCGTCAGATTACTTAGTATGGCACAAGGTGTACATTATGATTTTTTTCATCCAGTTAATTATTAATAATATTTGTTTTATATATCTCAACGTAAATGCTCCCTGTTCCTAATTAAGCAACACACCATGAAGACACATGAGGATTGGATATAGAACCGCGTATTCTTGACCTAGGAACTAGTTTGAGGTTAGTGGTCAGCTACAAAACCCAACCATTTTACTCTTAACATCCATGATATATTTTGACATGCTATTACGTGATAGCTATCTTCATGGAACTGAGTACGTCTTCAGAAGCAACCAGTCACTCAGTTTCTTAAAATTTCCCAAAATTTTATGGACCCCGGAGTTCCATTACTCTGTTTACAAGAACCCTCCTTTGGTGCCAACCCTGAACCAGGTGAATCCAATCCATAACATGTCATCATATTTCTCTTAAGATCCAGTTTAATATTAATATCCCTCCTACATATAAGTGATCCTAACAGTCTCTTTCCTTCTGGCTTTGCTACCAAATCTCTACACATACCTCAGCTCCCCATACGTGCTGCATTTCCTGCCCATCTCATCGTCCCGGACTTCATCATTCTAATTCAATCTGATGAAGGGGATCTCATTATGCAACATGCTCCCATCTCTTTCCATTTCATCGCTCTTTCAACGTCCTATTCCTAAGTACCTTAAGTCTATATCTTTCCCTGAAGACCAAAGACCAAGTTTCACACCCATACAAAACTAGAGGCAAAATTGTACTTCGTGCGTATTAATTTTTGTGTTTATGCACAGCAGACGAGGAGGCAAAGCCTTCTACACTGAATAGTAGCAAGCTTTGCCCAAAAGAAACACGAGTAATAGGCGTTTGTGATTCACACAGTGGTCCGCAACCGGTCACGAGGTAGGAATAATTTCCCAACCTTCCACTAGGCAGCGAGAGGGTAACATCGCTTGCCGCTGTCTTTCGGCAAGGAAGCTGGTTGTGCGGGGCAGGCGGGTTTAGAACTGGAGCATGTGTCCTTTGTGCGTCACTTTACCGACTGAGCTGTTACTGATAACATTGAACAATACAGCATTTAATGCAAAACTTAAATTAACTGAAAATAAAAAGAAATAATTGTCATTTCAGTTCTTACTTAATATGATTTGTGTTGTTATATTTAAAATGAAACAGATGCCACTCAGTGTTCCGAAGCTCGAAAACAGAGTGATGAATGATATAATGATACAAATTCCGTCCCAAGTGCAAACAATATATTATGTGTCCTTGATCTTGTTCACCCACACTACATGTTTCGGCCACAGACGGCCATCATCAGGTGTATAACACTCACGTCGCTGTCACACTGCACTCAGCTCAAAATTTAACATTTAAAACACTTTCCTTGTTATTATCAACATCTACTTCGTTGATATGTGTCTGGTTTGTAGAGTATTTTACACACGTTAATTCTGACGTACCTGTAGTAGCACTATAAAATCTTTAGTTCTAATTTTAAAATCCTTTAAAAATTTTTTTCCTCCAAATTCCAAATTTAAAATTGTTAGGGTTACTCGCCCTATGTCTAGAGTGCTGTAGCGGCTAGTTCTTGTTCCCACACTGTATAGGTGT